AAAATAGAAAGGCATATATTGTTTTTTTTCTTTTTATAATTTTTTTATTTCTTTTTCCTTATGTAATTTTTACAAGAAAAGATTCTTTTTATAATAATATATATAAAAAAATAATATAAAAATATAAAAATACATATTATAATATATATAACTTCAATATCTTTTTAGTCTATATAGTTTTTTAATATTTAACAAATATACAATATAATATTAGTATAGTTAATTGAAATAAATAAAAAATAATCAATATTAAAACCTTGACTTCACAACACTCTAATACAGAAAGAAGGTATGGATTTGACAAGTTTCAATGATTTGGAAAGATTTAATTGATTGAGAACAATGCAATAAGTATAGTGATTTTTATCAATAAACATTTTTTTATTAACTTTCTCTTCTAATTGTCTGTTCTCTCCTTTCTTTTTCTAATGGCAAAAAGAAATAAAAGAAATAAAAAAAATAACAGAAATAACCAATCATGCAGAACAAGCAGAAATAACAGAAATAACCAATCAAGCAAAACAAGCAGAAATAACAGAAATAACGAAAATAACGAGGTTGAAGGTCAATTACCCGATTAAGCAACCTCTGTAATGAGCGATCTTCATTACGCAATTCTTAAGGCATATCGTCGATACAGTATATTGTATAACTTTTATAAATAAAAATTATCTCATTAATAATAGATGATTAATAAGCCAATATCTAAGAAATTCTATCAGATTACAGTATTCATCTAATCTAAGGAAATAAATATTTGACAATCAGATAATTAAATAGCAAAAAAGCACTTGGAACGAAAATCATTACAAAAAATGTCATTTCCACCATGGCCTTCCGATGTTGACTGCGGACAAGCTAGTCCTCTATCCGGTTTTACGAAACATTTTTCGCAAGACAGATCTCTACAACAGGTTTGCGCAAAATATCTTCATATCACATAAGTCTATTCTCTGCTCACTCCTCGGCTTTTCTAGGATAGATTTTCTTCTGAACAGCTCGGTGAAGGTTCTTCTAAAAGGGTACCTATAGCTTGTTACTTAGTTAAAACTTTTAATATAGAATTATATATTTACAACTTTTTCTAAACGATTTAGGGTTTTAGGTCACGCACGAATATTGGATTGAAAGATAATGAAGTAAGTTGACGGATGAGAGTTGATTTTTGAAATGTAACCTTTGGATAAGCTTTTTCTGATGCGAAACTATTAATACAGTATGCGCAGAGATTTTTCCAAGAAGCATCTCACGCACAAGATGTATATAATTTTGATCAGTTTGGGAACGAACTCGAAGCAATTAGACCTAATGTGCAAAGTGGTGGAAGTTGGGTTGCGGAATTTTCAAAACGTCATGATTCTTCACAAAAAAATTTTGTTAGATCAGGTTCTTAACTTAATATTCCAACTTTTATTATTCCTCATCAAAAATTAACGATTTTTTTCTTTTTAGGCAACTGGACACGCGAATATGCGAAATTTGATCAGCCACTAACAAGTCTTAATGATTTGCGTCCAGATGAGGTTACTGCTTTTGAGAAGGCCTTTCGTAATGTAAATAAAGGTATTAGTCGAGTTCAGATACTTTGTGATGTCCAAGGTGTCTGCGTATTTTTAATCTGACCTTTTCAGATGTAAATTGGGAAACGGAATTTAATGCACAGGAGAAATCATGGGAATCTGAATTTAATACTCAAGAAGGGTCATGGGAATCCGAATTTAATGCACAAGAGAAACAGGAAAATATTAATTCGGAAATAGGCACTTCGAAAGACGAATTATCAAAGAATGCAGGCAAAATTATTGAATTGGTTGCTAATGAAACTAATCCGAAATTCAAGAATTCGATGTTTATGAGTTTTATGAGGAAATTGCGAGATCATGAGGTTCACATAGAAGGGAACAAAGTTGTGGAACAAAAAAGTCCGGTTTCCAAGGTTGACTGGGCTCGCGAGTTTGAAACTCAACACAAAGATAACTGGGCATCTGAATTCAAAGGTCATCAAGTGAATGCGGCTAGCGATTGGTCTCAAGAGTTCATTACAGATCACAACAGCGAAAGATCATTTGATATTTATGACAATCAGGTAAATCACACGTCATCACAGAATTTTGAGCCGACTCCGACTGCAAATATTAAAAATTGGAAAGATTGGGCTTCAGAATTTCAACAGTCGTTATCGGAAGATACTGCTGCAAAGGATTTAGAAAATTTGATCAATGGTACTGCGGACTCGTCCTGGGGAGAAGAATTTGATAAAGATTGGAACGAATATCAACCTTATAGCATGGGTTATAAAACAAGTTACAATTATAAATTCCGGCTAAACAATCCATATTTAAGTCGTTCTAAATCCTTGCATGAAATTACTGTACCAAATCAAGAGATTCAAGATTCTATACTAGCTTTGGAAGCAACCGTACAATTAGACTCGAATAACGCGGGTTCCTGGCACCAATTAGGAATTAAGCAGCAAGAGAATGAACAAGATTCTCAAGCAATTGCTGCTCTGCGTAGGTCTGTTGAACTGAATCCTAATATTTTAGACGCATGGATTTCGTTGGCTGTTTCATATACAAATGAATACCTCCATGATGATGCATATAACAGTTTAGAATCCTGGTTAGATAATCATACGAAATATAAACATGTTTTAGAAAATAATCGGACAAATAGACTAACTTCCGATCGTCACAAATACTTATCGGACGTACTGATGCAAGTAGCGAGATCGAATCCTGGAGAAAACCTGGATCCAGATGTTCAAATTGCGCTAGGAATTTTGTATAACATTTCGGGAGAATACAGTAAAGCTGTGGATTGTTTTCAAAGCGCACTTTACAAAAGACCAAATGTAAGTTATTTAACAAAGCGCGAAATATTTTTCTCGATTATGTATATAGATCTAAATAATCAATTCTGATAATTAGGATCATCTTCTTTGGAATAAGCTCGGAGCGACATTAGCCAATGTCGGAAAGCCCAACGATGCATTGAACGCATATTCTAAAGCCCTTAGCATAAATCCTTATTTTGTGAGAGCTCATTTTAATATTGCTTGTGCCCTCATTAACATGGATAGAAACTTAGAGGCTGCTCAACATTTGCTTGTTGCATTGTCGTTACAAACCGATAAAAATGACTATGTTCAGGACACGAACTCTATTTCTAGTATGAGTTCAAACATTTGGAAAACTTTAAAAAATTGTTGTGAAAATATGGATAGGCAAGATTTAGTTTTAAAATGCGAAATAAGGGATTTAGATAGTTTTAAATCTGAATTCGATCTTTAAAAAAAATTGCGATATCATTCAGATAGATATATTTATTCACATAACAGCATAATTTTAATCAAACAAGTTCCTGTGATAATCTTAGAGTTGTTCCGATTATTGGTTCCTGAATAACCATTTTATTTTTATTATTATGCAAAATTTGTACATGAAAATCATAACTCGCACAATTGACTTAATGCAGGAATTAATACATGGACATATTACTGGAAGCAATTAACAATGATAAGGTTCCTTATTCTAATCGATTTCCATCTTTGAACGTTTACTTTTCTTGTAATTGGTCTTTGATGGACCTTTGTTGTACCTAAATAAGGAAATTGGCGTTTATATAAGTCCTTTGCAACTAAAAGAGAGACAAATAATTACCTGCAAAGGCTTGATCCACATAAACATTCAAAGTCATCACTTTTAATTTTATAATCGAATGTAAGTTCAGTTGAAGCCGGAATATTTCTTTGTGCAAAAAATGCCACTCTCTGAAATCTTATATCCTTATACTCTACAAAGAACTACAAGAATTACACATCTTTTTTTTAATAAACTTACAATAAAACTACATAGAAAATTAAGATTTAAATAGCTTACCGGAATAGTGATCAGATTAGGATTGCAGGAGTGATTCAAAAATCTACTGATATTGCACCAGTAATTTGAATCCGCACTAAAAATCAGTGCAATAATCAATACAATTAATTAGATATAAGTCAAATTTGGAACTCGTACAGGATTAATCGAGTTAATCCTTACCAAAGAACATTGGATCTTTTGCTTTCATCAAACCCAAAATCAAAGTCAAAATATGTCAACATGTCCAACTTATCATAACAAACCTCCCTTAACTTTGCTGTTCTTGATTCAAGTATTTCACCAACATGCTCCATTACAAATGACCCTTCTTTAATTGTTACTAGAGTCCTAACTCCCCAACCTTTGTTCGGAGTTTTAAATATCTTTCAGTGTATTAAAAATCATTCTCAGCAGGCTTAAAAAAAAAACAAAAACAAGTAATAATAAACGGTTACGTGTCAACCTACCTCAAAATTACTATTATTTCTTACACTATTTTGAATGACTCTAAACGGGCATGTTTCATTACATTTACAATTCGAATTGCATTCGTATATCGGACCGATATCTGATCTAATTAGTCTTCCATTTTTCATTGGATAGCCATCTACCAAAAAAAAAAAAAAAATCAAATCTTTATATACTAAAGACAAATAAAGTAAAATACTAATAGGTTTAATTTACATAAGCACCTTCGTTATCGGCTGCACATGAACATTTTTTGTCCTATTCAAACAAATGATATTATATTAACAATGAAGAGGTTGTACATAATTAACAACCTAACAATCGCTACGTGTGTACCTGACAATTATCTTCGCAATCACATCCATAATTAAATTCAACATCAGGACTTTTCACCTTCCAATTGATCAGATTTTCTAAAGTATACTGTTTGTAAATCAGTAAATAAACAATGGAAAAATTTGGCTAACATTAGAGAACATACTTCAAGAACACCAACCTTCAAATACGGGATAACCTCATCATCAATATTATTATACACCCTATATGGTTGATAGGCTTGCGGTGGCGAAACATTCTTATCCCACAATAAAGCAAGTGAATAATCAAATTGAATAAGATTCTTTTCGATATTTAATAATTCTTCATAATGACGAGCCAAAGTTTTAGAGATAAATGGTTTGTATATAGTTCCCAACCACTGTGTATCTTCTTCAGGCTCCTTTTTACCCAACTGAATCGTAATATAATATAATGAAATATAAACAAAATTTGAATCTAATGGAAAAAGGATCGTAATGGGTGTCTTAAATTACCGTGATCCGATCATAAATTTCTTTTACAACTTGCGGTGGCCTAAAAATAATAGCGCTCTTTAAAATAACATTATCTATTAGTCCATTGGAAAGATACAAACCTGGACAAATATAATACTTTTATCACTCACAATTGCTTGGATCACACTAGTAGAACAGGGAAAGGTCTTAATATATGATGCTATCAAAGAGTACTCTTCTTTTGTGATAGGCAACGACTGGTGAGAATTTCTTCAACAATCAATCGAGAAAATATACGAAATACAGAGGACATTCAAAATATTACGAGACTACAATGATTTTACGTATAAACAAGTGTAATATTTTGATATTTGATCTCAGGCACAATTCGCTTACTTTATTTTCTCGCGATGAAGAATCCAGTACCAGGAGGTGAAATCTTCGTTAAGTTTTTTATTCCAGGCTTCATTAAGATGTACTATGGACTCCAAATTTTTTAACCATAAGTGAATCATATGTGGAGTAAAGTATTGTTTGATGGAAGATGGTTGTGTTCGCAGGGAATGTGGTGAGGGCGGTAAGGGTGTCTGAGACGAACTGGCTGTTATTGGCGCATTAGAAACAACGGAGAGGTTTGACTGTGCTTTTGATTTTACAGCACCAAGCCTAGTCCGAGAATTTCTTACCACCGTTTTATTGGGAGGAGTTGGCGGAACTTTCATTATGAGATTAACTTGCGTATTATTTAAACGTTGATTATCTTAATTTCGCGCCTATCAATCCATATTTAAAAAATGCACGATTAAATACGCGTCATGTGGTACAGATCCGATCCTAGAAAGATTTTGTTGGTACAAGTTACGTTTAGTTTTCACCTCTCCATCCATGGAAAATGAAGGAAGATCATGCGTTTATGGCCTACGACACCAAGTAATTTAGACAATTCGTCATTTTTAAATCTTTTCTCATTTTCTATTAAAAAATTTATCCACATAAGTGACGTTGGGAATGACAGGCTAGATGTCTTACGGCAGTCGTCGCTGATACCGAACAAAACAAGTTTCTAGTAGGAACTCAAGCTCTCAAACGAGACAATGAGGTTCTTTTCGTTCTTATAGACTTCTTTTGTTTTTATAATTAATGTTGCAAAGTTAAATTTTTTTTAAATACAGATAGATTCACTTGATTAACTTTCACGAAGAGGAATTCGAAATTACTAGTACTGTGTACCAACACGCAGAAGAGGTGTGGGACATTGCTGCTTGTCCCGCAAAAAGTGAAATTTTTTTCACGTGTTATAAAACTTGTCTGTATATTTTTTTATATGAAGTTTTCTTCGTGCATTTGGTTGTCATAGAAAATCAATGTTCTGCTGTATACTTTACTATTTGTAGTCGAGTCTAACTCATCACAAACCAAGGCTAAATTATGGCGAGCGGGTGGCCCAGAGTTTACCGCGGAAGACCATAAGCCTCAACTTCCAGCTTCAGTTGCGTCCCATTTACCCTTGGAAAGTGTTTTTAAGGTTGAAACGGATTCAAATATTAAAAAGTTTGTAATCAATCTGCCAACATTTTAAAGCTTTGGTGCATTAATAGCAAACTTAATTTCACGTGCTTTTTATATTCAGGGTCCTGTGGGATTCTTCAAAAGAATTAACTAAGTTTATATCGATTCACGATTCATCCTTCTGTGTCTGGGCCTTTGATGACCAATTGGTGTCCGCTAAGGTATATTGGATACTGTGATTTCTTAGCTAAGGATTTAAATGTAGTGAATTGAGTACGGATATCTATGTAGGCATCCAATACAATTGACCTTTCAAAAAATGGAGATCTTCCTGTATTAACAACCGGGGTATGGAATCCAAATCGCCCAGAAATTGCAATTGGCAAAGATTGCTCGGTCCAAGGTTGGGATCTTAGATCGCAGTGGTAAGAAGTTAACGTTGTACAAATTGCACGAAATTAATAAGTAACAACTTTCGTGAAACTACTATTAGTACTAGCTTTGACATTGTTGGGGCTCACTCTGCTCTCGTTCGTGCACTGGATTATAACCCAAATAAGCCATACCAAGTTTCGTCTGCTGGTGATGATTGCAAAATAAGATTTTGGGATCTTAGGAATACCAACGAGATTCTCAAAGAGATATCTGATCATACACATTGGTATGCAATGAAGTTAATACTGTTTAATGTATGTTTGGACTGCTTACACTAAATACTTTAAATCCTTAGGGTTTGGGCTATTGCTTACAATCGTTTTCATGATCAACTTTTTTTAAGTTCGAGTTCTGACTGCCAAGTGAACCTTCAAAGCATTGTCTCTCTTTCCTCCGCTGCATTTCATTATAATGAAGATGAGGATACCGATGATGAATATCAGGATATAGTAGGGTATGCGGTTCTTCTATATTTAAATTTGTTAATAATGATTACAATATTTGAATTTGTAAATTAACAGAAAACCAACGGACGGATTAGTGAGAACTTACGATCAACATGAAGATAGTGTATACTCAGTTGCTTGGAGTGCTTGTGACCCTTGGGTATTCTGTTCTTTATCTTATGATGGAAGGGCCGTCATTAACAGAGTACCAAGCGAGGAAAAGTATAAAATTATTTTGTAAAGTTCTTCTGTCTATGAAGTATTTTTTACATGGTGTATACTTGTTCAGCATCTGTAAATACCTTTTGCTTTCCAATATTTAATGATGCGGTATCTTTTTTTCTTACTAGAAATTTTATATATGAGTTGGGAGATGTTCAAAGAATCGTAATATTTTTGCTTTTGATCTTTTGATTATATAATTTCATGATTTTTATTTAAATATTTATTAAATTAAAAATATATTCCTGCTCAAAAAAATAATTGCATTATATTAGGTATAGAGTGCATTGTTTATAGAATATATTTTATTCGAATATGGAATAAGACGGTTTCAATAATATATTATTGTAAGGATTTTTAAATATACAGTATGGTGCAAAAAAAACTGGAATTTTTTTTAATATATATTTTTATTAATTTTTTTTTTTTAAAGTGCACCAGCGATAATTGTCTGGCTGAGTATTTATTCAATAACGATGTTTACATATATCTTTCGACATTACTATCTAGGACTATGCTATAACGTATCGGTTGTTAACTATACCCAACACTTATCGGGATTGCTCCAAATAATGATGTTTGCTGTAGCTTGTTCCTAACTATATTAGGTATAGAGGCTAATCTACTGGACAAATGTATTTCTTTGTTGGACCAGTAGCATGCGTTTTCACTAATAGTTAGACAGCTTTATTTCTAACTGGGAAAAAATTAAAGGGAAGTTGAAAGGGAACATTGGGAGTAATATTTATGGCGAATAAAGCTACATGATCACTGCTTGTTCCATTGGGAATAAATCCCTTTACCACCACCTGCAACTGGGCTAACCATTTAATTTCTTACTTGTTCAATGATACCTAAGAATGTTCAAGGTACTTATAACTGGTACTTACCACCTGAACACTGACTTACACATTGCAGGGAACAGGACTTATAGCCAGAAACCTTCTTGGAATAAGTACCGCCAGATTGGTTTATTACTGGATTGGAATGAGACTAGAGCAGGGATCTGCGTGAAAGACACCAGATATTAGGGAAAGGATTACCAAACCTACTCATCGAAAGCGAACACCTCATATATCTTGCAACTTCTAGCGATCATCGTAACACCAACCGGACGATCATTGTACCATGACACTTTTTCTGGGGATCACAATCCCAACATCCTATTGGATCAGCGTGCGAATGACTTCTTATGGGAAACAGGGCTTAACAAGTTATAGCCTCAGATATCATTTTTAATTTGATTTAATCGCCTTCACCTGGGGTTGAACTGGTATCTTGTGATCTGACCTGTGGAGTGTTAACCACTACACTATGGATCTACAGGTCATATATTTTTATTAATAAATTAATATAAAATTATTTAAATAGTATAAAACTTTATAAATTTGTTTTTAAGAT